TTAGAAAGAAACTCATAAACACAAAGCATAAATGTTTCTGAACTGCAACAGAGGACAAAACCATGAAAGCTTTAACAACACTCTTCAGGAGATCAATAACTCTGTTACCAAAGGCCCTGAATGTCTCATTCATCCCTGTGAATAATAATGCAGTGGTCCAAGAATTGATAACATCCTTTCCTCCTGAATTTTAAAGGAGCACTAGAGGAAAAAATAAAAATATTTCTAGAAAGAGGAATTTTTTTTTTAATTCTCAATGTTTCAGAACTTTAATTTCCATAGCCAAATGTTACTTTTGTTAAATTATATCATGTGATACTTAAAGGCTTAAGGAATGTATCCTTTCTATATATATATTTGCTAGGTTTAAAATCCTCAAACCTAACTAATAGCTCTAAGTACAAATGCCACTACCTTAATGAGATTTATTCCAAATTACTTTTTAAGAGGACTTTATTAGAGATTCATATGTCACTTCAATACTCACAAATGAACAAAAATTGTATTCAATATTGCATGTTAATTGCTTCCAATTATTTCTCCCATAGTGTTAAAATATTCTTAGATATATGAAGCGAAAGACTACTTGATGTAAATTAATGCCTTATGAATTAATGTTATTTTTAAATTAAATTTATTGTTAACTAAATTGAGACAATTAAAAATTAAGTCTGTAGCATCAATATGCCTAAGTATGATCATTTTAATTAATGATCATACAAAATAAAATAAAAAGTTATGAAAGATAACTTGAGATTTGAACCAAGAATAAAATACTTTATTATGTATAATAGAATAACCTAAATTACTGTGCTTAGTTTTAAATGTAAGCATCTCTGCTTAATATAATGTTTATGTCCAATTAAACCTGATTTAGGGCAAGGATAAGAGTGCCTCCCTCTTTTGTGCTTCTAAACTTTGGATCTAGATAAACCTTAACAATATTACAGAGAAAGGAATCTCATGTTCACACATTCAGTAGTACAACATTTAGGGTAAAATATAATAAATTATTTAAATGTGATTAATATACGTGCTCATTTGATATTGATAGTATGGGAAAATATAACTTATTATATTTTAAACCAGCTTATTGTGTTTTTCATTACATAGCAGACTAAAATGATCAAATCTATTCAAATAAATTATGAAAATTCCTAAAACCTAATTGTAATTTTTCTGATTTATCATCTCTAACAACAAATTTATAGATAAATGTATATTTTTCCCATAATTCTTAGTAGCCTGGATTTCAGAGTGGATGTGCAGATACTGTTATACTAGCGCCTATATCAGACTCCAGAAAATAGGAATACAGAACACAGGGCCTAATTAATGATCAGAACTTAGGGTTCCTCTGCAGTTTTTGGCAGGCAGGAAAGCATCAAGGTTAAGGAGATGGATGCCTGGAATGTGAAAATTAAAGAGGAAGAAAGGAAGAAGTGAGGAACAGGAGAAAGAAGGGACGTACAGAAGGAAAGCACACAAAGACCAGGTTGAGAAAAATCTAGGCTTCAGTTCTCAATCTAGTATTAGTTACTAAGTGGCCCCAGGGAATAACAGTCTGTTCTCAGTAACTTAGCATCCTGATTCATAAAATGAGAGAGAAAAGCATTTTCTAAGGCTTTCTAGATCTAAAACAGTACAACCTTCCAACTTCAAGGAATGAGAGAAAAATGAGCATACTGTAGCAAAATTGTCTATCTTTACTCAATAGAGTCTGGTTATCAGGGCCTTATGATCATTTACATTAATATATTTCAGGGTACTTCATTATACATATGATTTTAAATACAATTCTTTGATACTACAACCTTGGTGAAATAGACACATAAATAATTAGTACAGACTACACAGTACAGAGGAGAGAGGGATTAACTTTGTGAAGACCTACATATATGGCATTTGTGTTAGGCCTGGAAGGATGAATAAAATTCCATCACAGAAAAAAGAAAAAGAAAGAAACACTAAGCATCTACTGTAGATAAAATATTTTTAAAAGCAGAAGACAGGAAACATACCACATAGATTGTTCAAAAGTAATAAGAATAGGAGATAAAATTTGAAAAAGTTAGAATAGAATAGGACAAGGTCAAATTGTGAAGCCCTTTGGATGTTATGGTGAATAACTACATTTAATGGCTATCCCAGAAAGAAAGAAAAATTAGAATAATTTCCTAAGTGAACTATATTAAAATTATTATCAGGATTTATACAGTAAGCAACCTTAGGGCCTCAAATATCCCACATATTAGTGAAGCCATATTAAATGTCCAGCTCTGTTAAATATCCCAAAAAGTGCAGTTACATGAGGGCTCCATATAAGACCAGCAGAAGAACTACCCAGCTGAGCCTAGTCTGTATTTCCAGATAGTAAATTAATAATTTGTATAAGACAAGAGGTGCTGTTATAGAAAAAAATTAAATTGTGGCATTTGCTTTGATACTAAACAGATTGTAAAGGCTGGAAGCGTAGCAAGGAGTTGAGGGTGGAAGAGAAGTAAAGCGAGTGCTATTGGAGATAATAAAAGGTAACACTGCCTATGATAACTGGGAAAATAGAAAAAAATACTTCACGATGTTGTGGATCAAATTAAGACTGTTTCTCAGCTCTTAAAACTGGCAACTAGCACATGGACAATTCTTATAAATGAGCAGGATGACTCAGAGGGCAGAGTGATGAAGCCAAAACCACAGTGGATCATTTCCTGCCTCTACAGTAATGGATTCTTACAGCATCTATCCAGACTTCAGAATCACAATGAACCAGTGACTGCTGTAAACCTGCCTTTAGAAATTGGAGGCTCTTTTATAGTCATCCTGTCCCTGTCCTGTATATGTTGTGTGTGTGAGGAACAATAAGTTTCATTTTAGTTCTTAGTTCTTCAGGTCAAGAGAAATGTTAGCTTTAAACACATCTTTAATTGATTTCAATGATGCTTTTCTTGACTTCAACACAATGCCGTATGAGATAAATCTCTGGGAGAGTGTGGGTATTTGTACATGACAGAAAACATTAATCATGAGAAACTAGACAGTGAACTGTGGTACACTATCACACTGGCAACTCACTATAAACATACTTCCAGGTATTCAACCCTTGTGTAGTCCCATCATATACTCACTTTATACCTGGGCATGTAACAAACTCTCTCTTAAGCCAGCTACTGTACTATAAAAAGGCTTTAATTAGATTTTTAAATGATGAGAGGCCATCTAGAGAAAGCCCTTAGAAGAGATCATCTTGAACATTGCAACTCCAGTCAAGCTCACAGCTGGAAACAGCTGCGTCAGTGACTTCTGCTTTATCTACATTAAGCAGAACTACCCTGGCTTAGCTCTGAGAAATCATAAGTCACTGTGATTTTACACTAAGCAGTGTTGGCTGTTTTGTCTCAAAAGCAACAGATAACTGAAACATATACGCTATGTCTACCAACTACCAAACTGATTAACAGATAGTAGATATTCATATATTTTAATAACTTAAATTAATTGTTCTAACAGAACAGACTAAAAGAAAAAATTATACACACACACACACATATACACACACACACATACACACACACACACATATGGTGTCACATTACTACTTGAAGTATGGTTTATTCATATAAATTCCAATTAATCTGCCATTTAGGTATGTGTAATTCAGAGATTAGCTTGGGAGATAACTTATTGATTGATAGCAATAGGGTCAAGGATAAAAACTATTATCAGAGGATAGAAATGGGTGATATGAAGGAAAGCATCAAGAACACACACTAAACACTCATATTTCTGCACTCAAACAAATTATAATATAGGTAACAAGCCATAAAAACAGGTAAGTCTAGCAGCAGCTCTAGATGAGCTGATAATGATTATCATTTTTTAAAAATCAATTTTGCTAAACAATGGAAGAAATTTTAAGGAATGTACTGGTACATAAGAATGTAACTTCACAGAACAAACATATTAAGTAAAAAACCATCGAGCCATCAGCTATTGTCATTACCTGTATTTCTGTAGTCAACACCATGAAAAAATACACATATTTAATAATAGCAATCACATAAATTGTTAGTTATAAAATGACTCTCTAAATATTTTTAAAACTTTATTTTTACCAATTAACACCCAGCTTCTTCTATTTTAAAATATGATAAAACTACATGGATAGTATGTTTAATGTTTATCCCAAGTTCTTATTGTCTTCTTAACCTCACTGAATAATTACTCATATGTATGAATTTTTCTTTAGAATATTTTCCAATGTAAAATATTTTATAGAATCCCCCAAAGGATAATTTATGACTTATTTTTCTTCCATTCTAAATCTTTGTTATGAGTAAATAACATTTTTGAATTCAATTTATAATGATAAACTTCAATGAAATATATTTTAATTTTTAAATAGTAGAGAAAACTGGCTTATGCTTCATAAGAATATACTGCAGACATTTTATGTAATTATTAAAATTTTCAAATTTCCAACACACTCATCATTGGAAGTGCTAGTGAACTTTTCAAAACCCAAGTGTTTTATAAGTATATAAAATCTTTAAATATTCACACACATTACTATTACTCATAACCCTTTAGTACATAAAAGCATGTTTTTCTTACTTATTCTCATCCTTTTAATAATTATAAATATAGAACCAATAAAAAAGTCAATAAATTCAATACAGTGCAATAGAAAACAAACTTGTAAATAATTTACTATTAAGAGGGGAATATATCTACTTTGTTACTATTTGCCAAACAATAAATGTATTTCCATATTTGTGTATTGATTATGAGTGCTAAATACAAAAAATATTCATATAGATTATCTCTGTCAAGGATATGTAAAAATTTTAAATGAATATATTTATTAGATTAACAAACCTTCATAAAACAATTCACATAAAGAAAAATCATTTCATCTGGAAAACTATAGATATTATATTATCATAACAATGTGAAATGGTATAGTTCTAAACTTATGTATAGTAAATGTGAATGTTTCTTACCATGGCAAGAACCCTCGATCTCTTCATATCCTGTACTGCAGATGCACCTTCCAAGAGGAACCAGCCAATCTCCATCAGCTCCACAATATAGTTTAGGAGTGTCACGCTCTTCTGCACTCTTCACACAAGCACCCCTTACTTCAACCAAAGAGGAAGAGTCAACCCTTGGGATGGTGTCAGGAAACATGGCCAAGTTACGGACAGTGAAGGGGCACTTTTTGTAGAAAACACGGACTGATACCAGGGCAATGCATGCCCCAATGTCTTGAAAAGCCAGATAAAATCCTTTCCTTTCTATAGGCCCCACCTCACGAATTTCAGTGTTGAGTTTGAGGATGCGATCACCCAAATCCATCTGGGTAAAACTTTCATCAGCAGCAATTGTATCGATCTTTGTATACTGGCTTGGCTTGAATTTAATTCCATGGGACTCATCTGATTCCACATAATACAGATTAAATGTTTCTTTGCAAGTCCCCAAGACCCATGGGATGCTGTTACAATCCCTCAGTGTGAACTTCATTTCCACATAAATTTTCTGAGCTGCATCTCGGGAGATCCAGTTTGTACGAAGCCAATTGTTTTGATTTGGTTCCATTACATTGCATACCTGGTATGTGTGAATGGGCCTGTTATGTTCATCCATTTCAGTAATGGCATCCCACTGCAAAAAATAATAATAATAATAATAAATGGTTATAAAACTACAGTGGTTAAACAGAAATTATTGCTTTCCAAATTTTCTATTTTTGCAAAAGAAAATGAATAAAAAGGATACAACTAAAGTTAGTCCAAGTAACTATACAGCAAGATTTTACCCATGACCTTTGGTTACGAGTATGGGTTTTGGATATACCACCTGTCTTAGCGAATCTTAACTTCCTATATAATAGTTGCATGACCAAGGGCTACTAAATTTAAACTCTGGTTTTCTTAAATGTAAAATGTACCTAGTGTCACAAGGTTGTTGTAAGGCATGAATTAATATATGTAAAGCACTTCAAATAGTTTCTGGTACATTATAACAATGTAAAATGACATATCTGATCAAATAACTAGACCAATGACAAATGCACTTTGGTTTCCCATTTATCCTCATATCCAATTTGCTACCAATTGTCCTCATATCCAATTTTCCACAAATTGAGTATAGTTACCATTACTGAATTAAATATTTACATGTTTATTTTAATAGCAGGTAGATATAGAGAAGCCTTAGATTTATTCAAAAAATATTTAACAGGCAATGTTCTGGACCCTGGGAATACAGCAATTAACAAGCTAAACAAAATGCCTTGCCTTTATGAATCTTACTTACAGTGAGGAGAGACAATAAAAATAAAAACTGTAGCCCTGGCTGGTGTTGCTCAGTGGTTAAGAGCATCAGCCCCCCCCCCACC